GTTTATCACTTCAAAAATCGTTAAACAGGCTAATTAAGAATAACACACAGTGTGAAGTCATTGGTTAGGCTTCACATATAAGTTCTATTACCCTGAGCCATGTAAATATCACATACAAGTTATATTATGTCAAATATATCCTATATGTACTTATTTTTATGGACGGAAAAGGTAGAGACACAATAAATAACTAAGACAAGAGTCTCAACTTTGGGCATTCAGAGCAACACATCAAGTTTCCCCTTGAGGCTGTGTTTTTATGCATAGTATTTAGAATAGCAAGGCCGCACATTTATTTGCATTCATTTGCATGTAATCTGCATACAGCCTTAAGATTACATGTGTCACCTGGGGTCTTCAGAGTAATTTTTTTTCTTCCCCCCAAGCTTGTGAAGATTCTCTAAACCAAAAAATGACATCTGGGGAAAGAAGAAACAAAAATAACAATCTCGTAGTGCACTTAGTTTTCGCTTTTTCCAGAGACGGAAATACCCTGGGAGGTAAATATCAGAAGTGCTGCTAAGTCAGTTGTTGGGAGAACAGCACTTTGTTTCTTTTCTCCTTAATTGTAAAAGCAGTCCCCCACCTCACCCCCACCCCTAGTCTGAACTGTTTGGTACATGGTCCCTTATGTCTGTTTTTGTGCTGGTGTGTAAGAGAGGGGTGTTTTGTAGAAATGTGTGCTATGGCTTTGCAGGAAGAATAAACAAGTATTGTCTTCCATGGAGCTGACACTGGTAGTGGGACCATAGATTTAATTCAGGTCTGTGCCAGTGAACTGGGTAGCCACAGGGAAAGGTGCTGTGACATGATCTGTAACAAGAAAAGGGAAGAGAACTTGAACTTGCATGCCTCTCTCTCTCTGTCGGGGTTGGGAAAATGCTTGTAAAGCAATAACGTGACACAAAATTTCACAATTTACTTTTAGAAATTATTTTGAGGGAAAAAAGTTTCCCCCTGTCCCCAAATTAGAATAAATATTGCTTCAGCCTCTAATGCAGGAGAATCAAAGAAGAAGTGAAACAGATTAGGCAAGTATTAAACTTTGGAGCAGAAAATTAAAAACAAAAAGGTTAAAAGGGAGTTGGTTTCAATGTTCTCATAATTGTATTTATTATAATAAATTAGAAATGATTTAAAGTTGCTATAGTTATTTTATTTTGTAACATCAGTGCCTCCAGCCATTCGCATTGTAGGGTGTTGAGTCAGACATGGACTTCACAATCCCAAAGGAAAGACGCGTACTAGGCGTGGAGCTATCTAAATACAGCTGCATTATTTAAATTCCCTACAACTAATGTTGCAAACATTTTTCGTGAGGTAAATATTTTTTACTGACAGGTCTGTACTCTCTCAAGCAAGAACATGTCTGGTAGAAGTAGAAACGATGCAAATGTTTTTAGATAATCCCGAACGAGATGGATGGGAAGGGCTCCTTTCTGGGGATGGCAGACTGAACCAACTTAAAAAAAAATACTTAAAAAAAATTTTTTTTTTTTTTGCCTTTCTCGGCATTTAAATCATCAAGACTGATGAAAGTGCTAATTATGGGGACTCAGTGCACATCTGGAAAGCAATTTGGGAAAACAGAGGCAGCTGAGCCACCCTGTTCTGAAGGATCATTTGCTGAGCAACAAGTGTGGCGTGCAGACCGCAGCCTATGATGTTTGCTGTCTTTGGCCTGAGTTAGTTGAACAGCTGTTTTCTCCCTCACTAGCTGCGGGTATATTTTGAGGCTCCCACATTGCTAGGAAGTTCGAGTGATGGGGAGTGAGGGCTGGGGGATTAAATGCTTTTCCTAGTAGGAAAAAAGTTTGATCAACAGCGTCAAAACTTTGGAACTGCAGTGAACAGTTGGTTTGGAAGGCCTTGGTAATATTTGAGAGGAGAGAGAAAAACAGAAAAAGGAAGTGGAGCAAAGCTACATTAATGATTGTTTGATTTTTTTTTGGAGTGGCCTTGATTTAGTCCATGGAAACAGTGGGTTGTGATAACTTGTACAGATCATATAAAGGCTGGTTACTTTTGTGAGAAGGCAGAATTCCAGATGAGAGTGCTTTGGCTGGGACACTGTGACCCCTAGTGCCTCTGTAACTGAGAGATAGGTAGATAGATAGATGGATCGATAGATAGGTGATAGATAGGTGTTAATTTCCATTAAGGATGTGTAACACTGACTAACAGGCTCACGCAGGCGCTCAGGTATTAGAAGATGTGGCTTTGTACTTGGTCAAAGGTGGCAGGTAGTTTCATTTCCTGGGTGGATTTAAGGTTCCTGGTTGTTGTGGGGAGTAGCAGGATCAGGGTGGAAACTCATACAACGGGGTTTCAGATAAAGTATGAACGTCCTGTGCTGCCCTCCACCTTCTGACACCCTCCATAGGGAGCTCCTTGGTCTCTCTCAGTCTATGCTGGGCTAAGAGAACTGGCGGGATGGTGAGGGCTTTGTTTCTCTGAAGTGTCGGCAAACATCCCAGGTTACTCGGAGGCAGGCAGATGCTGACGCGGAAGGTAGCCTGGCTCCCTTTGCCCTCGGAGCTGGCCAGGTGCTCCCCGCTGGCGGAGGCAGCTGTGGATGAGCCCTCGCCTGGGTGGGCTCTGAGTCTCACAGTCCCGGCTGATAGCAGCTGGTGGTCAGGACAGATGTTCTGCATGGGAGCAGCTCACATGCCCTCCCTCTTTGCCAAAGTTCTTCCAGTTACTTTATCCTGGTGTTAGCCCAGGTGCATGGGGTGGAAGAGGGCCCACCTTGGGGTCTGTGGTGATGGCTGTGTGGCTCTGCTGGTCCGCCCCATCTGCCCACCTCAGGTCCTTCCTCCATGGATTGGAACGGGGGAGGGAGGTGAAGGGCCCTCACGCCGGGCTGGTAAACTTGGGGCTTACGTACTTTGTAGGAGGGGGCATGGCAGTGGTATGGCTTATTCCCAGGGGCAAGAGACCCCGTCCGATCTGTTTACTAGTATAGCAAGGTCACTTTAGCAGGTCAGTGGCAGATTAGGAGGCAGGAAAATCAAGTGGGAGGTCTTAGATTTTTGTGCCGTGGCCCGGATGGCATGTGCTGTTGAGTTGAGGTGAGTCAGGGCAAACCTTTGCATCGTGGTTTGATTTAGCAAATAATTTCAGGAACTTCACCTTAAGGTATTCTTTCCTAAGAGGGACTGTTTTCTGGCATTTTCCTTGACTGAAGACAGGAAAGCAAAGGCCTGTTAGGGTAGGCTGGCAGCTTCTGTGTATTTCCTCAGAGGCTCAGCACAGAGCCCACCCGGACTGATGTCATTTCCTAATGAACTCAACAGTGAACGTTTGAAGAGCAGGGTCAACTCCTACCTCTCTACACAGTCCATCCAGCCTGTCCTCTCAGACAGCGAGGGGGCGACTTTTGTCCAGACGTGTTTACATATCTCACTGGTCTTGGACGAGCTCTATCCTGGGGACTTGGGGGCAATTACCGCAAACGTGGGGAAGGAAGAATATTTTCTAAAAATTCATTGCTTTCAATTTCTGTTTCCCCGTTTAGTTCTGTAAAATTGGGGAATGCAGAAGTGGGGGCAGTGATGATGGTCGTCCTGAAGCAGCCTCCTGACCCAGGGGTGGGGGAGGGGTGGGAGTGGGTGGCGAGGTCTGCATGCAAGCACGAGGCTCTGGAGAAGTCTCAGTCCGCAGACCTCAGTGGCCTCTAACGGTGCTTTTCAGTATGAGACACGATTCCCTGGTGTGTGTGTGTGTGTGTGTGTGTGTGTGTGTGTGTGTGTGTGTGTGCTGCTGTGAATTACAACAAGAGGCTAGCCCGGAGTCTGTGGCATCGAAAGGGTGTGCACCTTTCGGGGTGTCTAAAATCTTGCACTGTTTTGGGGCTGTCTTGGTAAAGTCATCTTTCTGGGTTGTCTTGGTGGGGTCATTTACTCAAACCAAAGGAAGGTGTGCTGGGAGATGAAAAGGGGAAGGGGAGACCTTCCTCTGAATGGAGGGAGGGAGGAAGGAATGACCAGAAGAAAGGGCATAACTTCCAAGTGGCCGAAGCATTTTTGTCATCGTAGGTGTATGTGTTCAGACACGGATTTAGGCATCAACTCCCTTAAAGGAAAACTGTCGTCGGAAACATGGCCTTGCAGTGAATGTTATTAACTGCAGAGCTTTTGAACACTTAACTGGGTGCCAGGTGGACGTGGATGGGCCAAGTTCTAAGTGGTTTATGATCCTTCATTCCTCCTCTCAGTGAGGGAGGGACTGTTGCTCTCCCACTGGTGCCAGAGGTGAGGAACGTGCCTGAGGTCATGGAACCACCCGTGCCAGGGAGCTGGGTGTGAACTCCGGGGTGTGAGCGTACTCTCTGGCACTTTCCTCAGGGAAGAGACAGATGTGATTATTCCTTATTTACTTAGGAGACATTGTAATGTGTACCTTTACATCTGTACTTGAAATGAATGACTCCACTTTCCTGAGGGTCTCCCGGGAAGGGATGGTTCAGGGGTGTCCCAGATGCAGTGTTCCCCATGGGTTCCTGAAATCTTTGGTGCCAGTCAGAACTTTTGGGAGTGGTGTCCTGGCATCAGGACTTTACAAAAGCCTCCCAGGAGGTTCTGATGCAGCTAAGGCACACGGGGCTCTGGGGAGCCTGGTACTGACACGTGCCTCTGCTGAAGCAACTTCCCTGGGGCTGCCTTCGCCAGGCTAAGCAGGCAGAAGTGTGGGTTCGCTGTGGCTTGGGTTCCACAGAGTCCCAGGTTGGGGCCTGGCTTCTTTGCTCATTAGCCCTGCCAGCTAGGGCTGTTGCTCAACTTCTTGGAGTTACGGTTTGTCTGTCTACACAGCAAGGAAGTAGGCCCTGTGTCCAGGAGCTGTGCTGACGTTAGGAAATGTCACCTGGCACATGCTCCCCATTAATAAGTGACAGCGATCACTGAAAGCTCTGTGGAGAAGGAGACGTCATGGCGTGGGGCGTTTGCAGGTGGACTGACTGTTCTTTTCCTTTTTCTCCCTCCTGCCCGCCTCACCCTCAGGACGGCTCCCTGGGCAACATCGATGACCTGGCACAGCAGTATGCAGACTACTACAATACCTACTTCTCCGACGTGTGCGAGAAGATGGAGGAGCTGCGCAAGCGGCGGGTTTCCCAGGACCTGGACGTGGTGAGTGTGCGGCCCTGGGGACGGCCTCCTGCCCAGCTGGCTGCTCCTGTCCCTGCTCATGGCCCAGCACCCCCTCTCTGGGCCTTCTGACGGTCCTGCTGTGCAGGGAGCACCACACGGCAAGCTGCTCAACTGGCCGGGGACAGCACATTTCAGATCCCTGGAAGGTTAATTACCCAGTTCTGCAGATATCAGACTGAATGAGTGTTGGTTGGGGCAGTATGATCAAAATTTGGTAGTCATTAAAAGACTAGTTTTTTTTTTCTTTTTTTTTTCTTCTTTAACTTAAGGGACAGGATATTTTTACTGTTGGCCAGTATATTAAGTAAAAACCTTTTTATTGACTTTTAAGCCCAAAGGATGTCTAAGCTACTCTGTCTTTCCTTCCTTCCTCTCTTCCTCTCTTCCTTCCCCTCCTCCACCTTTTATCCTACCTTTTTTCCTCCTCCTCCTCTTAAAAACAAAATAAGATTAAAAAAAAAGCAAGAAACCCACCTAGCAATAACCATGTTGGTGTTTTAGCAGATCTCTGCTCAGATGTTGTCTGGGCATTTTTATATCAACAATGTAATTTTTACCTTTTTCCTTAACATTTTATTATATTCTTACATTAAAATAAATACATGTTTTTATTGATTTCAGAGGGGATGGAAGAGGGAGAGAGAGACAGAAACATCACTGATGAGAGAGAATCATTGATCGGCTGCCTCCTGCATGCCCCCTACTGGGGATCAAGCCTGCAACCACGGACGGAATCGAATCTGGGACCCTTCAGTCTGTAAGCGATACTTTATCCACTGAGCCAAACCAGCTAGGGAGTATTCTTCCATGTTTAAGACCTCTTTGTCATCACCATTTTCATGGCTACCTTCTCTTCTATCACTCAGGTGTACTGAAATCCATTTGGCTGGTTTGTAAAGAGTTTTATGTGTATAATTAGTCGAGCATTTGATCTTGCATGTGATAAGTAGTAACTGACTAGCTTAGGCCCTCTCTAAATAGACAATCTGTATGTGTGCTAGTATTTCTATGTTGTGCATTTATTATAAAGTATCTTACTGAAACTTTTGCGTTGCTAGTTAAAATTTGCTGCTTATGTTATACTTGAGCGCATTTCGGTTCATTGTTTTGTTTCACTGTGGTGACCTGAAGGCGACTTCAGGAACGTGAGGCGGACGGAGCGGCTAACCCCTCCCTGCCTCCTCACCACATCCGGATCATCCTCGTTTTGGCCATCTTTTATGTGTCTGAGGCTATGTGGACCAGTTTTGAAATAGATCTTGGAAATATGAATCTTTAAAAATAAGAATTGAAAATTACTGATTCAATTGAATCCTTAACATTTATTTTCCTTAGAGTAGGAATGGAAAAAAAAAAAAAAAGACCCATTCAGAAACTAGCAACAGATTCTCTTCTATTAATAACTAGAGGCCCGGTGCATGGATTTGTGCACTGGTGGGGTCCCTTGGCCTGGCCTGCTGGGATTAGGTCGAAACGGGCTCTCTGACATTTCCCAAAGAGTCTCAGATTGTGAGAGGGCACAGGCCAGGCTGAGGGACCCTGCACGATCGGGTCTGAGGGGGAATTGCGGGAGGGTTCGAGGGCGTGTCCTGCCCATCTCACCCAGTCCCTATCAGCCCAATCTGGGCCATCTCACCTAATCCCGATTAGGGCGATTGGGGCCAGCTGGCCAGGGAGTGATCACAGGAGGGCTCCAGGGCATGTCCGGCCCTTCTTGCCTAGTCCTGATCAGCCAGACCCCAATAGCAAGCTAACCTACGGGTCAGAGAGTTGCCCCCTGGTGGTCAGTGCACATCATAGTGACTGGTCAACGGTCGAACAGATGGTCGGACACTTAGCATATTAGGGTTTTATTATATAGAATTCATTTTATGTTATAGGTACCTGTTACATAAGGACCCAACTAGTGGTTTAGGCTGCACTGCTATATATTCTATAAGTAGGTGTAATCCACCTCCACCGAGTAAGACCTTGGCCTTCTTAGGCGTTTTAATTTCTTCTCTTAACTTGGGTCAGGAATCACATTATATCATGACTGTCAAATATTATTGATTCTCCTTTTTTGCTTGCTGACTTAGCTGAGGGCAAGGGTGGGAGTTAGTATAATAAGAAGCATCAGTTGGGGGCAGCTGAGAGCCTGGCACTGTGGCCCAGGCAGACCCGTGGGCATCTTTGTTGCCAATGGCTTCTTTTCTATAACTTTGTCTCCTGGCTTGTATGAACTGGGGGGGGAGGGGGTGTATTTTATTTCTTTCCTTTAAAGAAAGTAACATTATGTGACAAAAAGACTTCTCTGCTTCTGTTAAAATTAATTAGGCTTTCCTGTTGGGGCACAGTTAATGAAAAAAGACATTCCTTTTGGCAAGATTGCAGCAGAAGAACTTAAATATCGCACTGGATTTGCAAGCTTGAGCTTGAATGATAGTCTGGTAGCATACTTTGTGGCCTCCCTGGACATTTCACTGTGCAAGGAAATGATCGCCAGGAATTGGGAGGCAGTCCTTCGTACAGCATGCATCTGCTCTCCCCAGAATTCTTGCTGGTTAGGAAGTACGGTTACCATCACCATCCCATGGTGTTTGGGAACCTCGGAAGGCGGCTTCTAGGTAGGAAAGGAAGCTCGCTGGCCTTGGGAAACAGAACTTCTTCCCGTGCAGACAGATGGGTCTAATTTGCTGTGCTGTGTTCCAGAGCGGCTAGGCAGTCTGGGGAGGAGAAACACCACAGGAGCTTAATTAGTGCTCATCAAAGGTGCTAGAATGTGGTGGCCAGTAAAATTAATGGGAGCCAATTTGAGTCTGGCTAAATAAATACTCTGTTCTCCCCTTAAATAGTAGTTAGTGAGAAAGTAAGATGCCCCATCGACATATTCAAGTTCTCTTTCTGTGAGATTCTAGGCCAGTTGCAGCGGGCAAAGGGGTGGCCTCTAGCAGGAGGAGACCAGGATGGGTGCCCTGTGCCTCCCATGCCGTCCACAGGCCCCCGGAGTCCAGACATCCCTGTTAGAGGGTTTAAGGTCCTCATTCAGGCCATGAACACAACACTGCCGGCTTAAAAGTCAAGATCCCACTCGAGGCCATGAGCTCATCACAGACTGAGTCTTTGTGGGAACTCAGGTTTTCTTGAAAAGCTGTAACTTTCAGGCCTTGATGCTCCCTTTCACTGCATCAGATTTATCTGTATTTCCTGACTTTGAGTTCTGCCTTTGGACAAGTAGACAAACGTCTCTAGTCTGCTGTTGGAGCCGCTTCGGGGCTGAGGACCTGCAGCTTAATTCTTTCTTTCTATGCAAGCGAGCAGCCCCACCAAAGCTGAATGTGAGATTTCTTGGAGAAGAAACAATCCATCACAAGCACGAAGAGGAAATAGCATTATAGGAGCCTGGAACATTTTATAGGGGAAAAAAATTTGTTTTATCTGCTGTAGAAAAAGTCATATAGAGGCAGCCTTGAGCGCAGAGAGTTTGAGGTGATGGGTTCAATTGGCTTAATGGCTTTGTTTTATTTTTAAATCCTATGGATGAGGAAATAGCCCATAGATAGTATAGTTACTCAAATATTTGTGTTTGGGCTTTAAAAAGCCCAAAAAATGCATTGCCCTTAAGAGCTAATTACATGTCAGCTGGAGAACAAACAAACCAGGAAGACAGCCTGCCCATGGAGAGGCTTGACTTAACCCTGAAAATAAGAGGCTTTGATAATTACATTAGTAATTAACTTTCTGGACTGGATAGCAAGCTATGCTTCCAGTACCTCATCCCCGGCTGCTGACTGGAATAAAGCACATATTTGATCAAGTGGTTTTGGGGCCAGTTGGTTTAGATGAAGGCAACGAGTACAGATGGGGGGAAATTCAACAATATACACAGGAATTACAATGTAAATTGATAACTGCGGAGAGGATTTTCACTCTGCTCCGAATGGGCCCTGCAGGATCAGTGCATTTGGACGGCAGCCGCGGCCTCTGCTGGGGGCTGGACCATTAGTGCTGGTGCACAGCAGGGAAGCGGCCCATATCTGCACACATTTGGCGCATGTCTGAGCACCGTGTGCGTGTTTTTGGCCGGGAGAAGCTGCATTTGGAAACGGCTGCAGGTTTTCGAGTCCATAATGGGCCCATTTCTAGGGACGCTAAGTCTGACATCTGTCAAAGTGACACCGTGGCCAGGAAAGGGACACACACAAGGTGGCCTCTGTTTCTGGCCGTATCAGTGTCCTCGGCATCTCTTGGGATGACTCCGTGCGGCACAGCCCTAATGGGAAGAGCCCCTCTCCCTCCCCCTCGCTTATAGGGGGACCCCACGGACGACATCGACCGCAGCCGGGCTTGGGCTCTGTACCTAACCATTACCACATCTGTGTGGGCGCCAGGAAATGGGAGCCCAGGGGGGGACCCACCCAGGCCTCTGAGGACCTGGAACGGAAGTGTAAATATTGCCAGGATCTCGGAGAAATGTGATACCAGAGCCATTGCGATGGAGCAGTTCTCAGGTATAATTCTTGCTTTTTGCAGTCGCCATAATTCAATGGTTCCATGTATAGTCATGGCCCAAGAGGCATAAGAGTGGTGTCTGTCCTGACTGGTGGTAATCCTTGGGCTTCTCCAGACATAACCTCTACCACCCCAGACCCAGGCTGGAGTCCTAGCCTCCTGGCTTGTTGCAGGCAAAGGGTGTGGGAACCACTGCTGCAAAATGACTGGGAGTCTGACAGACAAATCCCTCGCTGTTTTAGCTGGCAAGTTGTGTAACCTCTAAATCTCAGTTTCCCCATCTGTAAAGGGAGGTAAAAATATATCAAAGTGATTATGAGGATTAGTTAGAGAAAACTGCCATTAAGTGCCTGGCACATCATTGTGAATGACCTATTACTGTTTTCTTTTCCATCCCTTCTGTTCCTAGTTCAAAGCCTCCTGTAGTAATGCTGAAGAGGGTCTATTTGTAGCTGATATTTATTAATATTAATTAATCCTATATAATA